GCGAGCCTAAACGTGAAAGCGTGGCAGGACCCAACAGTGCAGCATGAGGAGGCAAACATATAAATTACAGAAGTGAGAGAATAATTGTTTCGATCTGTAGAATGCAAAGAAAACCTGTAGCTTTGAGGGATAATGCAAATAAAGTTATGAAAGACAAGTTATTTTTCCCTGGATCATCTTTGAGTAGGTATCAGTCACATAATTCACAAATAAAATCATATGAAAGCATTATTCTCCATAAGTAGAGAACTAGTTAATAAATTAAGTGACATCACCTAATGAATATAATGAAAATGAATGAAAAATTGCCTTATATACTCCCACTTTTATGGGTATATTCTTCAGTTTAAAAAATAGGCAAGGGGATAAAGGGGGTGATGTAATGCTTTTTTGAAGAAAGGGTATGTGTATGTGTAATCTGCTTGAACTTCCTCACACAAATATTTAACAAGAAGAAGATGCAAGTAATACAAATAGTAACTAGACTTATCTGAATATACCTGGTGTATTAGATATACTGTTGGAACCATTCAAAATTAAAATGCAAAACACTCACAAAAAATAAAAAGTCGCATAAATATGTTAATGAGTTTAACTATATACCCAGTCTTTAGTGGGACTAAAATAAGCATAAAAAAGGAGTTTTAAATCCTTCACAGTAATCACATGGAGAGTAGCAGTGTTAGCGCTATTACCCTTTGTGATGTCTAATAAAGCAAATGAGAAATTTTGCAATAGCCTAATTCATCTTTGGTGCCCTTGAAACCCAGAATTCGTGGTGAGAGAAAAAGAAGATGAAGATGTATGATAGAAGAGTTTGAATAGCAAAACCTGTAGTCTTGAATTTGAATTAGAAATATCAGTATGGATTCACTTATCTCTTAAAAAAATATTTCCTAACTCTATCCACTGAAAAGGATTAGAGAAGCCTTATTATGATAATAATAAGCATCTTTAGTGACCAGATAGTCAACTTGAAATTCTGTTTCTCCCTAAAAGAAAGAAGAATGTTGTAAGAAAATGGCTGGCTTCATATTTGGGTGAGAAAATGTACAAGATTAGCCTGAAATATTTTGTCATCCTACCAGGTGTCAAGGAAAATATCAACGATGATTAAGGTCACATCCAAAGGACCTAGAAGCCCACTCAGACACACGTTCCCTCTTGCTAAACAGGGCACAATTTGAGCATCAAAAAGAAAATGGTTTGAAGCCCATCAACTGTATTCAAATTCATGAATTCACAATGGTACTAAGGCAAACTAATTGGTCACTTTTAGAAGATGCTCATGAACCAACTCATTATACCTACCCTGCCTTTCCTACACAGAGCATACTCGTTGGCAGTATTCCAATGAATAAATGAAAAAGAAGAATATAATTTAATATGCCCATTTTGCAATCCCCTAGTTACAGGAAGTGCATGGACCTAGACACTGAACATCAGTGATTGAACATCAACATTGCAAAGACAGACAGACAACCAGATACAGTGGTTATTTTACGGGCCTCCTGATAAAAAAATACAAGCCATTACAGTACAAGAAACTGACAGACAAGTGGTGGAAAAGAATACAACAAGCTCTTAGAAAGCAGCTTGGCCAAAAATTCAGATCTGGTCAAGCCTAATCGGATTCAAGTACTGAATCGGATCCAAGCACCAATTTACAGGAAGTACTGGGGTGGGGGGGGCGGGGAATAGAACTAAGGACCCGTTATTCTTTAACAAATTTTCAGAATAAAAGAGATAGAAGAAACGGTCCTACTAAGCTAAATTAAGAGACTTGAAAGACCACCCAGCCACGATGTGGGGCCTTACCTGCATCTTGGTACAAATAAGAAGACTGTTGGAAATGTGATACTGACTATATCTGTCGCATGTTTTTAATTGTGGCAATGGTATTTAAAATCAAGAAATAAAAACTCACTACCCTCAAGTGGAGGCTGACTCACAGCGACCCCATAGGACGGGTAGAACTGCTCTTGTGGGGGCTCAGACCGCAGCTGTTTGAGGCAGTGAAATGTTTCCTCTTTCTCTCAGGTAATGTTATTGGGGTTATGTTACAAATGAGTTCTTATCTCTTAGGGATACATATTGAAAGTTTCAAGATGCGCTAATACATCTTGGACTCACTTCAAAATAGTATGTGGAAATGAGACTATTAAGACTAGCCACGGAATGTTAATTGTGTAAATTGCTTGAGAGTCTTATGGGGGCTGATGGTACTATTCTGCCTAGTTTTAAATGTTTCTATTTTCTGTAATACATTTTTTTCTGAGTGTTTTCTATAGTTAACGTATTCAAGTGATTCAAAAACAAAAGTGACTTAAAAAGAGGTCTAGTCTCATCACCGTGTGTTCTTGTCCCTGCTGCCGTGGGTGGCAATGTGCTGGTCTGCCTGGGACTGGCGAAGGACCTCCCGTGTGGTCAAAGGAAGACCTTCAGTGACATGGACTAACACAGTACTACGACGATGGGCGCAAACGGAACAAGTATGAGCACGAACAAGGACTGGGCGGATTTTCGTGTTTCTGTATTAGAGTTAATATGGGTCAGAGCTGACTCCACAGCACTTAACAATGGCAGGGACTTTTCATATCTAAACCAGGACATTCTCAGGCACACCAGGATGGTTAGCAATTCAACCCTTTCTTCCTATTTCATCTTGTTATTCTTCCCTGATCTATTTATACAAACAAAGTAAA